ACAAAATTGTGTTCTCCTCTCCAAATCGTCTTCCATGAGTTGCTATTATTTTATAGGGAGGCATTTTGTTTTCTTTTATTGTTCGAATAATCGATGACTGGCTAATATCGAACATTGAGGAGCTTGTCGACAAGAAGTATATGGGTTTTCCTTAAACTCAAGCATAATATCCAATTTGGTATCATTAATTAATGCATTGATAGCTGTTTTTTTATCTGCCTTACATGTCCAAGCTTGCAAAACTGCTTCCCTATTATACTAATTGTCCCTTGAGATATACACTTCAAATTTTGAAATTTTTCATGAAATAATCGAGCAACTTCCATTTGTGTTAGTGTGTTATCTTCAATCATCTGTAGAATTGTTATTTTGTGCATTTCTGTTTACATGAACCATTTTTCTGATATGCATTTAAGGAAATTCAAACGACCATAACACTGACAACTACTGTCATGCAGTCAGATAACAATTTTCTAAGGTCAGGCGTTTTAAACAAAAGTAAACAAATCTATTTAAGTATAGCTTTTTTAATTTTATATTAGTAAAAAGAAACGCTGAAATGGTTTTTGCTTATTTTCTCATTATCAAGACCTAAATGGGAAATAAGTATTGAGTGTGTTATAGCGAATTTCTGTAGTCAAACAATTTTAGTTTGTTATTGCGAATTTTTGCAATAAATAGGAAAACATTAATATTTTCGAAACAGTTAGGTATAGGACATAGTACATAAAATATGTCTAGAATTTTCTAAAGAATTCAAAAATTGAAAAATATGCATGCTGTTGCATTTAAAATAAGAAAGTTGGTATTGGTCACTGTTATATGACACACCCCGTATAAAAAGTTTATATTAAAAAAAATGGGCAACTAGAAAAAAGACCAATCAATGTGTCCGAGCGTTTTTCCAAACATACCATTTATTTATTACCGAATTTATTTCACTTGGTTGTTCCACACTGTATATTTAATCTGTTAATGCGATTTGTTGTTTATATATTTTTTATATATTTATCTTCTGCTGTACTGCAATAAATAAATAAACACAAATTACGGAAATAAAACGCAGGGAAAATTATATTCTAATTTTTGGAATTCCTAAAAATACACATACCGAAATGTCACTTGTTGAGGAAATTGTTAAAGTTCCAATATTAGGAAGTAGCAGATAATAACAAGTGCAGTCCTTTAACAGTTAATGATGAATATAAAATTTATAAGAGGCGACAAAAAATCTAGTCTATTTAAAAATTTCAAAATATTTACATTCTGCCATACCAAACTGTCATACAGAGGTAACACTTCACTAAACTTCAAGAGGAGCTAAGATATCGTAAAGATAACGGTTAACTATTAAAATATAGAGAGTGTCTACTTTAGCCATACCAATATGGAAAAATGTTTTAAATAAAAAATGACTCATATAAATTGATTAAATACCTTCAATTTTAACAAATAAAACATAACTAGGTTTAAAGAAAATACGATGATTATTTAGGAAGGTGGGACACTTGAACATTTAATGATTGAATAGACGATGACGAATAATTTTTGTGGAAGTTGTTTATGGACAATAAGCACTACAGATGGCGTAATGACGGAAGCCATTGTCTTTTTTAAATAAAATAATTTTAGCACGAAAAATAAATGTAAATGCTATTCCTAATGTGGATATTTTCTTTTTTAGTTTTCCAGGTTAATTATTTCCGATTGATTTTTCTTTTCTTTTTAACTTTAAGTATATATTTTTTATTTTGTTTATTTATCAGTGGCTCCGTCAGGATTGTTTACCCAGACTGTCCTGGATAAAAAATTTATTTTATCTATGGACTATGTTTCATGAAAAAACTGCACCCTTGTGCGTTTGACTATAGTCACCACTTTTCCACTACACTTGATATTTAACTTAAAATATTTTATTTCAGTATTTTATCACCAGTTCGATGTTGACACACGGTATCTGTTGTAACTCCTTAAGATGAATTGTAAAGGAGATTGAGAGACCATTCGAAATTAAAAATATATTTGATAGCTTTTAAACATTGACATTCGACTATTAATATTTTATAACTATATTTGCACATTGCCGTGCAACACTTAACAATAACAAGGGATACTACAGTGTACAAGTCGAAAGCCTGTTATGAATGATAAATAGTCCTAAAAAATGTACTAAAGTGTATTTTTATTTTTTTAAATTTTAAAACTAAGATTTTAGTTATGTATTTGTATATAACATCATTATTAGCATGTTGTTGACTAGAATAATGTCTACTTATTTGTATTTTATACACCTGTAAATGGGCTTTAAGCCTGCTTTATGTATATTATTATTAAATAAGAAATAAAATAAAAATAGTCGGAATTGTCCTCGAAACAGTCTTGCAATTTATTTGCCTATTTGGTAGCCTAAAAAGATTTGAGCTAAGTACTTTTTATTTTTCCATTATTCAGTAGCATGTGTACAAACCAAAGAATTATCTTTAGTTTGTATATTTTCAAATAGTTCATGAAATGATTCAGTGAACTTTTTTATATTTCCGCCATATAATTATTAGGGAATTGCTTGGTTCTACGCCTCTGTTTTACTTGGCTATAACATTCGGTCTAGAGGAGACGGCTACAAAATGCATCAGATCCTTAGAGACAACCAACGTCCAACAGGTGGTTGGGACGTTGTATGTTGTATTTATATTACACTTTAATTAACAGAAGCCTTAATAGTAATTAGTAAATTTTAAGCGTATTAATATGTTTGAAGTATCCATTAAATATTATACCTATTTTTAATGTCTTATTAAAGCGCTTGATTATTTTATAAAACTAATAACTGATTTGTCATATTAAACTATTTATTATTATTGTTACTGCAATTCATTGAGGTAGTCTTGAAGTCACAAAAAAATCTATGATTTAACGTTCCATGAGTTAATCTTTTAAACTATTAAATTGCATAACATTTATATCTGCTTGTGTAGGTTCTCCGACTTTAGAGAAAATTTTATTTTCTCCCTTTTATGATAACCTAAATTCATGCACATAAATTCATTAACAGAAATAAATTATTTCAACGAAAATAATAATTATTATATGAGGTGTGTCACTTCAAAAGGGTCTATATCCATTTTCGATGAAAAATGCGTCCACCGCTGTTTTAACTACTGTGTAGCCTGGGGCATATAATAATAACTCTTAAATGTGCCAAAGTGGGCTTTATCCCGTGGAAAAATAATATTAAAATACCCATATCGCAGCAAAAGGTTCCATATTTAGAAATATGAACGCGTCAAACAGGCCAAACAGATCTGTCAAAATCTCAAAAATTTCTGTTGCTTCAGTTTAAATAAGACAGTGTGTTAGTTGATGTTTATGAACAGCAATCAGTCGTAGTATTTAAGGTTTTGTGTTGTGTTTATGTTTATTATTATTGTTAAGGGCACTATGAACGAAAGTATTACCCCAGCGGTACCGGGAAAAGCTAGACGGACGCCTGGGGATCGTAGCAAATGGAAAAGGAACATTGAAAAATTCAATAGGTAAATTACCACATTATGTTCATATCTGCAACAATCACTAGTGCTCATTTCTTGTATCCGTTGGTTATTTTTTGTTACTCACGCAGTATTGGATTATTATTGTCTTTAGTATCTATTGACGATTACTAATGTTACCGCTAATATTATTTTTTATTATTTAAAATTTTATTGGAAACTATCACGCTCTTTTCTTGTTGCAGATATGAACCCACAGGTCCACCAGCATACCCTAGTTGTGACCACTTTAACAAATCTTACAAGTGCCGGAAGTTAAGAATGAGGGATATTAAGGAATTCCACCAGAATTTTTATTCGATGCGCGAAAAAAACGTCCAGGATGCTTTTATCATCAAACACGTTAAAATAAAAACTGCATAAAGACCATGTAATATAGAAAGACTTACCTCAACAAAAAAAGTTAGCACAAACTGCTACATTCGAGTTTCGGGTACTGACGCATTTTGTCTACGCGTGTGTCAGCAAACTTTCATTAATGTCCTCCAAATAGCACGTAAGAGAGTTCAGTCTTTAACTAGAATATTTCTGACAACTGCTAGGATGCCTATTGATAGAAGCGGAGGAGCAAGACCAAAACTCTTCTATGAGAGGAGAAAAGCCGCTATTAAAGCATTTATAGAAAATTTAAAATACTGTGAAAGCCAATACTCTAGAGGAAAGTCCATTAATCGGCATTATTTGCCAGGAAATTTAAGTATTAATAAATTATATCGCATGAACAACAACGAGCAAACGGACGAATCACTGAAATCGAAAAAAACGTCTTGGAGAAAAAATTTTACGACGCACTACAATATTGGATTTCGAACACCCACCACGGACGCTTGCTCTAAATGTATAGAACTTAAAGCTAAGATCAATAAAGAGACCAATCGTCCTGATCAAAATAAGTTAATGGCCGAATTTGCTTTTCACACAATGCGGTACAAAGCGTTCTTCCGGAAACTTCAAGAAAAAAGAGACGGTCTCATAACATTAAGTTTCGACTGCCAAAAGAACATGGTTCTGCCAAAAGTTCAAGATCAAACTGCCTACTATAGTAGACAACTTTACATGTACAATTTTACTATCGTAAAAGGGAGTTCAAAAGACTGCTTGACCAGGGAAAATGTGTATTGCTATTCTTGGATGGAGCATGAACACAAGAAGGGCGTAAACGAAATTGCATCAGCGGTGTTCCATCTACTGTCACTCCTTGATTTGTCATCATTTTCAATGATTAGGTTGTGCGCTGATGGTTGCGGCGGTCAGAACCGCAATTCAATTATGATTGGAATGCAAGTTGCACCTTGCAATATTAAAAAATTAAAACTTATTCTCCCAATCACTGGACACTCGTTTTTGCCAGCAGACCGCGTGATTGCGTCCATAGAGAAAAAACTATGAAAACAACCAGTAGAACCAACAGAATATAAAACAATTTATTTAGAGCATGCCACTGTATTTAAAATGGGTAAAGACTTAAAGGTATACGACTGGAAAAGTTTAGTAGAGATTTACTACAAAAAAACTACATCGTGCCACTTCAAGTTTAATGAAGCAAAACGTTTTATTCTCAACAAATCTACTCAACTAAATGTCTTGGTTAGAGGCGAAACATCTTACAACACTGACTTGAATAATGGTAAATTGGTTGTTAAAAAAGGTGCTAAACTAAGGTCTATTGCATTGCCAGATAATACCAATGGGAGTACCTTTGATATGACGAAACACTTTGGCGAAAAATGGGATACAATGGCGGAATGTACTTTCAATAAAAATGTGATCTTGGGAAATACGGTCGAGGTAACAGCCCACAATAGGAGAGCGGAGGACATGGAAGACCACGGCACAGAAGATGAGTTTTGCGAGGGACATGCAGATGAGCAACTTGCTGATCATGTGTAAAGCTTGGTTTGACCAAAAATGTTCGTTATCAGTTTTTTAGAGTTCAAATTATATTTTTGTAAGCAAGTTGCTAATTATTATTAGAGAAAATAAAGATAATCTTTTTCATTGTACTTAGATTATTATTGTGTCAAATCAGCCTATATTCTCATATGGTTGGCGCAAAAGTTCCTTTATCCACTTGGCTACAGCAAGAGGGTCTATATCCAAATTTTGAAGTTAATTTTCAACTCTTTTTGGCATTTAACGTTTAGTTTCTTTTTGTATTTTGATATTACAGGTTTGTAAAAATAATTGTAAGAGGTTCTGTATCTATTACAACCACAAGATTTATGTTAAACAGTTTTTCGCGAATTTTCGAAAACTAGTGAGAGTGGATAAAGACCGTTTTGCGGTGACACGCCTCATATCTCTGTTAATGTAAGAGTCGTGATACTATATATATTAAAAAAAAAAAAAAACGCTCCTTAAAGGGGGCGTTAATTAATGTTACAATTTGATCAATAATTAGTCAATAAGTAATTTTGTTAGGGTTGCAATCTTAAAAACTAAAGTTCTACTCGCTAATATATCTTAGGGTCTAATAACTTAATTATACTAAAATAACATATAACACTAAACCGCACATTGCTTTGTTTTGTTATTAACACAATCACTTGGATAACTCAAAAGGTTTCACTCTTTTGAGTCTTTTTGCCAAGTTCGTGTTGTCAAGAAGCTGGATCGCTTCGACGTTCAAATATTGGTGGAACAGTTGTTCTTGACTCCTAGAGAATCTGGTGATAGTCTCATCAACAGTGTTTATTTGAAGGTCTCGATGAAGGTCACTGTTTCTAATGTACCAAGGAATCTCTAGATTATTAGAATATTGCTGTTGTTGGCACAACCCCAGAGCTGATTGCCACAGATACAAATTGGTTTGAGAACTTGTTTGTGTAATAGAATTTTGTTATATTTAGATACGCTGAAATGCCTACCACAAAACCAGTATATTTTCTTGATTTTTTATATCTTACTTATGTATTTTCTTTTTAACATAGACCTTCCAGTGAAATCTTGCATTTAATGTAATGCCGAATTTCGAAACGTCGGCCGGACGCGCTCGCTCTCTTCTGTAGTGGTTAGAAGGTGAATGAAACGACGGCAGCGTATGTCTTATGGTGTAGATTTAAAAACCGCGCCTGGCTAATGACCTACCGGGGTTTTCCTTTTTGTGAACGAAGAGTAATCTACGTGAATCGCAGTTAAACCACTCACTTGGAGGGTTTTATGTTATAAGGGGATTTAATTTAGAGGTAAGAATACTTGCAGAAACACGCCTTGTACATAATATTTTTTTTCTGGTCCTCATCGTCTGAATCATCAGAGTCTTTTACATCCTTCTTTGATTGTGGACCAATTCTTCTCTTCTTTTTCTTTTTGTCATCGTCTGAGTCACCATCCTTTTTCGCTTTTAACTTCTTCTCTTCTTCAGAGTCGAAAAAATTATAGATAGGAGAGTAGTAGATGGAAAAGTAGAGTATTTTCTCAAATGGAAAGGTTATTCAGAAGACGACAATACCTGCGAGCCAGACGATAACCTAGATTGTCCTTAACTCATTGCGGAATTCGAAAAAAATCGCAGAGCTAAATTAGCTGCAAAGATTAAAAAAGGACCCGAGACAATCAACTTCATCAGTAGATTCTGATACCGTCAAACGGGGTGAATCAGGACTAAGGGGTCAATCGGGACAGTATGACGTTTATTTACAAACACGTGATTTTTATGCTTGTAGCCAATGTTTTTAGGACGGGTAATATGAAAAGCCTATTGCAGAAACCACAATCGTTTGACCTTCGTATGTCGCCGTCGGTTAATTCGCAACGCTTCATTGGTACAGGTGTCAAAATATTGCAGTATAATTTTACGTTTTTAAAACCGGCTGAAAACTTCGTTTAAAAAAGGTATTCATTGTAGGATTTGAGGATGGATTTGAGTATTGCATTGTTAATATAGTATACCTGTGGGTATTTTCTAGATGTTAAGTAGTCTTTGAATAAATTATTTTGTAAAGTTTTTTTATTATTAATTAATGAAAAAAACAAATCACTTCTAGGGGTGAATCGGGACGATGGTCCGAAAATACAAAAGAACGCCTGGGACTAGGTTTTACCAAAATTATAGTAAAGAGCAGCTTGAAACGGCTTTGAGGCAATTTAGAAGAGGCCAAATAACCCTTCGAGAAGCAGAAGAGTTATATAATATACCAAGATCGACGCTACAACGACATGCTAAACAGAAGCCAAAGAAACATGGTGGGCAAACTATTTTGTCAGAAGGTGAGGAAAGTAGACTAGTGCATTTGATAGTATTAGCGGGAGAGTGGATATACCCGTTGGAAAAAATTGATATTGATCGTTAAGGCATATCTTGATAGAAAAGGAATAAGAGTGGCAAAATTTAATAATAATATGCCCGGTGTTGATTGGGCGAATTTGTTTTGTTTGCGTCATAAAGAATCACTCACTGAAAGACTGTGTGAAAATATTAAACGAGCTCAGGCAGCAGTGTCTCGGGAAATAATAAATAAATATTTTGACCACTTCCAAGAAAACTTACAAAACGTTGAAACTGAATCCACCATCAACTATGATGAAACTTGCTTTGTAGATGATCCCGGACGGAAAAAAGTCATCGTAAAAAGAAAAACAAGACATCCAGAACGCATAATCGATTCAACAAGAACATCGACATCAGTAATGTTTGCCGTAAGTGGTGATGGCCAGCTATTACCCCCATTTCTAGTCTATAGGAGCGAGCATCTTTACGATACTTGGTTGACAAATGGACCAAAAGGTGCGCGCTATGGACGAAATAAAAGTGGCTGGTTCGACCAGCCATTATTTGAAGAAAGGTTTATTTCTGTTGCTCTACCGTTCTTTAAAAGACGTTCGGCATCAAGGGTAATCATTGGCGATAACTTGTGTAGTCATCTGTCGCTCAGAGTTATTGAATTGTGCGAAGAAAATGATATTATGTTTTGTTTTTTGCCGCCGAATTCAACCCATTTAACACAGCCACTTAACGTCTCTGTTTTTGGCCCAATGAAAAAGGTTTGGAGGTCAACTCTACAAGATTGGAAAAAAGAATACAAGGGTTCTTTGCCGAAAAAGTATTTTCCGAGTTTACTAAAACGTGCTATAGACAAATTAGGAGGACTCTAAGTCAGAATATTAAAATCGGATTTCGTGGGACGGGAATTATTCCACTTGATAGGACTCAGGTTTTAAAACGATTGCCACAAGAAAGAAATCTCGAAGAGGACGATCCTAATGCCTGGACGGAGTCTGTTGTAGAATTGCTTAACGAAAGCAGGAATGCTTGCAAACCAACAGTAGCAAGGAAAAAGAAAATTCAAGTGGAGCCAGACAAAAGCGTTTCAACAACAGATTTTTTAGAACCACAACCGTCAACAAGCAATACTGTAGTGCCTCAAGAGAATGAAACTTCGGAACTTGAGTCAGAACTTGAGTCAGAACCGGAATTAGAAATAATGGAACAGGAAGAGTGCTTTGAAGATGTGCAGCCTACTATGGAAAACATTGCAACTGACAACTTTGTAGAGGTTGAATTTAAAACAAAGTGAACAAATATTTCATCAGGCAAATTAAGGGAATCTTTGATGAAACTTTTGATTGTAAATTTCTTAGACCTAACAGAAAGATAAAAAATTGCTATATCTTTCCCACAGTGGATGACATATGCATGATTAGCTTGGAACAAATTGTGAAAAAACTGCCTAAACCAACTAAATTGCGACGAGGAGGCTACGAATTTCCTTTGAAAATGAAACTAAAATCCTATGCACTTTAAAACTATAAAATAAAGGCTATTTCCAAATTTCATTGTTGTTTTTTTTTACCTTTAATATTAAAAAAAGAAATAAAAAATAATATTTTAATTTATTTTTGTTTCAATTAACCCCATACTCGAGGCGACATGCACATTGCATGGCTGGAAACAGCGTGTCCCGATTCGCCCCAAAACGGAGTCAATCGGGACACACCATATTATATATTTTTTTAATTAATTTATTCAAATCAGATAATTATCCAATACATATTTCAGCAGCCGTATTGACTACGATCACTTTCCCCTAAATTTTAATTTTCTTCGATAGTTTTAGAAGAAAATATTAATAATAATATCTAAAAATCGTCCCGATTCACCCCGTTTGACGGTGCATCTGCATATAAGAAAAAATCTAAGGCTAAATCCGATTCAGAAGATGAATCCCACTCAAAGAAGTCAAAAGGTGATGACTTAAATGAAGACAAGAAATCTAAGAAAAAATCTAAAGACTCAGACTCCAAAGATGAGAAGAAGTTAAAAGCGAAAAAGTATGGTGACTCAGACGATGACAAAAAGAAAAAGAAGAGAAGAGTTGGTCCACAGTCAAAGAAGGATGTAGAAGACTCTGATGATTCAGACGATGAGAACAAAAAAAAAAGAATATTATGTACAAGGCGTCTTTTCGCAAGTATTTTTACCTCTAAATTAAATCCCCTTATAATATCGCCCCCTTAGTGCAACAACTAGATAACTCAAAATTTATGCATTTTGAGTTATCCAGTTTAATCTGTCCTATTTTTCATGCTCTTTTCAATGCAATAACTGGATATCACGTACGAGCAACCAAACCTATTTTTAAAGAGTGACTAAAAACAGACAACTCCCAATATATACATTTTATAACTAGAGATCTTGAGATATTTAGTTTTAGCACTGGTATTATTGAGTTATCTGCCGGCACTTTCTTGGTCGCTATGAGATATCTAGTTTGTTTCTGTGCTGCTAAATTGTTTTTACGGTGTCTTTTTAAAAGCCATAACTTGGTTAGCGGGCAGGAAATATACTGGTTGAACTTTTCGAAATCGACGCCATTTATTATTAATTTTATGAAGATATTGATAGGGATTTTAGGCGTCTAAATTTTAAGCGTAAAACACGTATGTCGTCT